TTACTCGAGAGGCTGAGGCAGGCGAATCATTTGAACCCAGAAGGCAGAGGTTGCAGTGAGCTGAGATCGCACCATTGCATATTAGCCTGGTCAACAAGAGTCAAACTCCATCTCAAAATAAATAAATAAATAATTAAAAATGCCTAATAAATACTTATTGAAAGTATAAGTATAAAAAACTTTAATTACATTAATTATGAGATTTTAAAACTGTATTACTTGAGAGAAGAGACCAAATCTCCTCGTGATACTTTTATTAATTTATTTAATAATAAAGATGAACATAAACATTTGTGCAATTCAGTGTTTAAAGTTTGCCAAGGTATATGTATATATGTTTCCCAGTGCTGATGCTGTGAGAAGCCCAAGCCATGGAGAGGCCTCAGGCAGGTGCTCTTGTCAACGGCCCAAGCTAAACGCCCAGCCAACACCAGCATCTGCGGCCAGCCATGTGAGTGAGCCTTGCAGACGTCTAGTCCCGTCAAGCCCTGCAGATGTCTCCAGCACAAATAGAGCCTACAGATGTCTCCCCATGAAACCACACAGCCAAGTCCAGGCGGAAAATGTGAAAGGTGTTTCTACCAAGCCACTGAGTTTCTGGGTGATTTGTTTTACAGTAATAGAGACCGTTCAGGTTCTATCTTTTATATTTTTTTCAGTGGGAATATGAGACTTTTGAAAAAACACAGGTGATGAAACTATGTGCTCTTTTAGCCAATACAATGGGGAAATTTTTCTGTTGATTAAAATAATGCAGGTGCTTACAGGTAGCTTGGTGAAAATGTGGCCACAGACTCTCAGTTTGGGTCCTCTTATCTGTCTTCCACCTTCCAAGGCCAGCACACCATTCCTAAAGCCCAACCTCACACCCTGGAGTTTATCCCTCATCCCTTGAGGACCCAAAGACAAACAGCCTTGCCAATGCAGTAGTACCTTGTCTCACCTCAACTGCAAAGTGGCCATGGGGTCTTCAGCAGCAGCTGGGGAAGATGCTCCAGAAACTGGCCCTCATAGCTCTGCCCTGTAACTTGACTGGGTTGCAAACAATGTGGGTGAGAATAACATGATTTCTAAGGCTCTTTTTCAGTATTGAAATTACATGTATGTCTGATCTCTTTAAAGAAAAATGTGAATTTTTTAGTAAAACAATTTTCTTTTGTCCTTATAGACTATTTGTCATATTTTGCTTCAATCAAGAGTTGGGTCAGACACAACAACTGGGCAGCTGACATGAGATCTGCACATTAGTTACTAGAAGAGCCAGAAGGCCACCCACTGTTCCTCCTAGTGAACCACTGGCAGAGCAGGTATGGCTTAGAACTGAGTTTCATGCTTGACTGCTGATATGGTTTGACTGTGTTCCAACCAAATCTCATCTTCAATTTTAGCTTCCACAATTCCCACATGTTGTGGGAGGGACCTGATGGGAGGTAATTGAATCATGGGGGCAGGTCTTTCTCATGCTGTTCTCATAATAGTGAATAAGTCTCACGAGATCAGATGGTTTTATAAGGGGAAACCCCTTTCGCTTGACTCTCATTTTCTTCTCTTGTCTGCTGCCATGTGAGACGTGCCTTTCACCTTCCATCGTGATTGTGAGGCCTCCCCAGCCACGTGGAACTGTGAGTCCATTAAACCTCTTTCTTTTGTAAATTGCCCAGTCTTGGGTATGTCTTTATCAGCAGCATGAAAACAGACTAATACAATTACACAAAAAAGTCAATGCATCAAAACAGAAAGAAGTCCACCAGTACATTTGAAATTACATTTTATTTAAACAGGTAAAAATGTGTATATATTTTTAAAATGAAAATACAAAGTAAGTGAATCAATAATACAAACATGTTTATAGCAGTAATTAAAATAGAGGTAACATTTACCAGTGTGAAAATATCAGAATTCCAATCACACTTGGATCTTCAATGATTGAAGTCTGCATTCCACACAGCAGGGGCTGGTAGACTGAAGATAAATTCCTCCTCTGGATGTGCCATCCTCAGTCAAGCTCTTCCTCATCACCATTCATCAGCTCACACAGTGGGGTAGCTGGCTGCTGTGGCGATTCCACAGTTGTTCCTCCGGTCTTTGGCCATCTTTATGTAGCCATCCATGCCCCAGTTTTTACCCCAGCTGAAAGGAGAACAGGTTTTCCATTTCAGAGGAAGGATAAAGCACTTTGGGTTATTAACTTAAACAGTGTGCCAGAAGCCACAGGCCTAACATAAAGAATCAGCAGATGCCGATGTTCCTGTTCATCCCTTATAAATTCTTAAGTCAAAACCTGCATATCACTTCAATCCCAGGCCCAAAACTGTGACCTTTCACAGAACGGCAAAATCAGAAACAGAAAAAGGACAGGATGTCTTTCCAGCCAGGTATGCTTCAGAATTAAGAAAATGTTCAGAATTTAAACATGCAATGGGACAAATACCATGTTAATATCCCCAGCACACTTGTGACAGTATCTTGATGTTACAATCAATCATTACTATTCTGTGTTCTATCTAAGGGGGATAAAGACTTCTGGGATTTCAGAAATGGGATTAAGGGCTTGCGGTATGTAAATACTGATTGCAAAAAAGGATTCCCCTTTGAATTTCAACTATAAGCCTTTCTGGCAATTTATACCTGTTCTTCACCAGCCAATATTTATTGTTATCCGAGTCTGCTCCTTCATAGCCATAGCCAGCCGCCAGCATAGCATGATCCAGGCCTTCAGGGTCACAACGTGGCTCAAAATAAATTCCTGAGAGAATAAAATGAAGGCTGGGTGAGAAGTTCCCAAGGACACCTGACAGTAACCCACCCTGTCACCCACAGGGAGGGAGGCATCTCTAAAATCAGTGAAATGACACACAGTCCAGATCGGGCTTAACAAGATCTATTGTTATCAAAGCTAGGGAATTAGGCTGTCATCCACAACTAGCAGAAATTGAAATTGGCATAAGTCCTTCATAAAAAACTTTCCTACAAGCATAAAAGACCACTCATTTTAAGCTTGTAATTCTACTCTAGAATATCAATCTTAAAAAGAGCACAGAACACCAAAATCCTTGAATCAAAAGCCTCTTTTCAGATTTAATCACAGAAGTAAAAATCTTTCTAAAAATTCTAAGAATACAACAATTAGAGAATATTTAAGTAAATTAAACTATACTATAAATAACATAGCTATTTATAAAAAGTTATGAAGTACATGTATTCATGGAGATATGCTCAAAGTAATGTCAAACAGAAGCATTGGGTATGATTATTGCATGTATAGGGTCCATCATGCTGGTGTGCTATGGTGGTTTACTTTTTTTCTGCAATAATTTCTATGAAGAAAGATGCTTACCTTTTTTGTAGAACTGGAAGGAGAAATGGCTTGCATCAACAGCAACAGAGACGGGCCCCACAGTTGCCACTGCCTTCGCCAGGTCCTTCTCCCGTGAAGGGACGTCCACAAAGCCAGTGTCATTAGCAACACAGTACTTGGGATTGTACCTACAGGTTTTAAACCTTTTAAAGGTAAAGAGGGAAGCGATTTGATGACTACCATCCTTCTCCCAGGGAACGTGAGTCAGAATCACCATACTCAGCAGTTTGCAGCATAGAATTTCCAAGGCAACACTGTCACAAATCATCCAAGGAAGTGAAATGTTGTTATTAATTGTTAATTTGAAACTGAAAATTAGCTCAGTTCTCTTCAGCAAGACCCCTAGGTTTACTTTCCATAAGACGTTTTTCGCAATGGAGACATCTGTATTATGTGTAGAATGGTTTGTATATTCTCCATGTTACACAGAAGCAAGAACAGCTGCATGTTAACCATGCAATCCCAGAACTGTGCCAAGGCTATAATTTATAATGACAACACAGACAGTTTGCAGATAGAGATTCCACCATCTAAAATGGGAATTCTGAAAAGTGTCTGTTACCTCTGAAAGTGTCCCAGTAAAACAAGGCAGGAACGGCGTCAAGAAAAGGAGCTCCATTTACCTTTCCTTCATATAGGTAGGATGCCTCAGAGTCCAGGCCTCCGTTCTCCTGAACATACCAGAAGGAATTATCCATGAAACCACCGTTGCAGCCCTCATTGCCTTGAAGCCAAGAGAAGTCTACCAGATTCTGCTCACTCAGTGAAATAAGTTTGCCTGTTTTCCAGAACATCTGCCCTTCCAGAGCACCAGTTGCACTAAAAGCCCAACAAGAGCCACACATACCCTGAAAAGAGAATAAAAAAGCTGATACCCCCCCCACACACACACACAGAGCAAGACTTTTAACAACAGCTCATATATCTAAATACTCCTTTAAAAAGTGAATGCATGCTGCTGCACACTCTGCCATAGCACAAATGTCAATTGCTTCTTGGCTTTCCTGGGGTGATAGGAAGTCTGAACCTAACACAGTCTCAACTGATTCTTCACAGGAGTCATGTAGCCTTTCTCTCTCCAGTCCACAGATGTGGGGATCTCAAGAAGAATACGTTCCTGGAACTCCTTCCCCTTCCTGTGCTTCTGGTATTGAAAACCATTCATCACCTGCCTAAATTCTTCATTGGTCTTCAAGCAAAAGTAAATAAAATGTCAAAAAGCAAGAGATTAATTTGGTAAAGAACTGAGGAGGAGAAGCACAGAGTTCGGCAGTCCACAGCATACTTACCATGTCTCCAAAGGCGTTCATGGCCATTGTGAAGCTGTGTTTCCCTTGACTGTATTCTTGATTGTGCTGCTCAATCATCTTCATGTTCTTCTCCCACACTGCTCTCCTCCATCATTCTTCATTCTAAAGGAAAACATGTAACTGATGCTTTTTTTTTTTTTTTTTTTTTTTGAGACAGAGTCTTGCTCTGTTGCCCAGGCTGGAGTGCAGTGGTGCTATCTCAGCTCACTG